CGGAGCACCCTGGTTGCCATCGAGCATGCCCCGGAGTGCATACCGCATATTCCTCGATGGATCTCTTCGATGACGTAGGTGGCTTGGGACTTGGTTAGGCATTTTAGAAGGGGAGCCGAGATGCCTCGTTTGAATAGTTTGTCCCTGATGATGACAAATTTAGATGACCTTACCCTCAACTTCCTAGCTTCATCTTTGTCTTCAGTTATTGTCCCCTACTTTAAGTAGTTCCATATATTTGTCATCCATCCCTTGTCTTCAGTATCGTTGGTATTGACGACTTTATCGTCTAGACTGTGAGAGTTGAGGGTCTCTTGGATGATGGTTCGATGTTGCCTGGGGTGCTCTATGCTGGCGAGCTTGGACAGGAGGTCAGCCTTGACATTTTGCTCATGGGGCACATGATGTATGGTGAACTCCTCAAAGGATGAGATCCGCTAGGATACTGCATGAAAGTACCTCTGTAGTAAGGCATCCTTGGTCTGGTATGTCCCACTGAGCTGTTCTACCATGATTTTTGAGTCATGTTACAACTCACTTTTTGTGCTCCAATGTCGTGAGCCAACTTCAGTCCTACTAGTAGTGCTTCGTATTCTGCTTAGTTGTTGGTGATTCTGAACCCGAATTTTAGAGATTGTTCTATGGTGACATTGTTGGGTCCTTCTAAAATGATACCTACACCACCAGCTTTAGTGTTGGAAGATCCATCAACATATAGAGTCCATACCTGTTTTTCTTCTACTAAGGTTGGGGTGAGTTCGGCCACAAAATATGCCAAGCATTGGTCTTTCAAAGGGCCTCAATTTTCATATCGGATGCCAAACTCGGATAGCTCTACGGACCATGCAATCATGTGCCCTGCGAGTTCTGGCTTTCTCAGTATTTGCTTGATTGGGTAGTTCGTTTTGACGATGACTTGGTGGCTTTGGAAATAAGGCCGAAGACGTCGGGCCGAGGTGACCAATGCTAAGGCTAGCTTCTCAATCGTTTGGTACCTATTCTTTGTGTCTTGGAGAACTCGGCTGATGTAGTATATAGGAGTTTGGTTCTTGTTGCGCTCTTGCACCATCACCGCGCTGATTGCACTTTCCCCGACTGCCAAGTACAGGAGGAGGTCGGAATGATGATCTGGTCTCTGTAGGACTGGTGGGGTGGCGAGGAAAGTTTTGAAGCTTTTGAAAGCTTCTTCACATTGGTCAGTCTACTCAAAATTCTTTGGCTTGCGTAGTAAGGTAAAGATGGGTCTTACTTTGTCCGCCAACCTCGGAATGAAACGAGAAAGAGAGACTAACCTTCCTGCCAAGCATTGGACGTCCTTAACATTGTGAGGGCTATGAATCCGTATGATGGCCTTGCACTTTTCTAGGTTGGCTTCAATACCCCTATGGGTGATCATGAAGCCGAGGAACTTTCCTCCCTGGACTCCAAATACGCACTTTTCGGGGTTTAAGCGCATATTGTGCTTCCGCATTTGGTTAAATACTTCGGCTAGGTTAGCAACATGGGCGTCGGCCGATGTGTTTTTCACGACCATGTCTTCCATGTAGACTTCTATGTTTCGTCCATGTAGACTTCCATGTTCGTCCAATCTGTTGGTGGAAGACCTTGTCCATCAGCCTTTGATAAGTAGCTCCCGCATTTTTTAGACCGAACGGCATCACGCGGTAGTAGAAGTTGGCGTGGTCGGTGATGAACAATGTGTGCTCTTTGTTCGGTGGGTACATCATAATCTAATTGTATCTGGAGTATGCGTCTAGAAAGCTGAGGAGGGCGTGACCGGATGCTGCATCAACCAACCTGTCAATGTTTGGTAGGGGGTAGGAATCTTTAGGGCAAGCCTTGTTCAAGTCGGTGTAGACGATGCACATACGCCACTTCCCTTAGTTCTTTTTAACGAGCACTACATTGGCTACCCATGTAGTGTATCGGACTTCTCGGATGAATCCTGTTTTTATTAGCTTCTAGCGCCAGTGTTCCTACCGTAAGTCTGCTGTCATCGTTAGGGTCACCGCATTCGAGGTATTGTCCACTTTGGCTCGTTGGGCCATCACGGTTTTGTCCTTTAAAAGGTGCCTCGGTGGGTTAAGGAGGAAAGGTGTTTATAAACTACCCTTAGCCTCGACTCCTAAGCTATGTGGGACTTTTAGGCACACCAGAACAAACCCCCAGTCGATGCTAAGGGGAAAGAGTGGCCTGGGCCCTCCTTTTAGCGCTAATGTACCTACCGTAAGTCCGTTGTCATCATTAAGGTCATCGCATCTGAGGTATTGTCTGCTTTGGCTCATTGGGCCGTCACGATTTTGTCCTTTAAAAGGCACCTCGGTGGGTTAAGGAGGAAGGGTCTTTATAAACTACCTTTAGCCTCGACTCCTAAGCGATGTGGGACTTTTAGGCATACCAGAACAGAACTTAAATGCCTAGTGGAGACTCAGTGTGGGTTAGTGGGAATTAAATTTAATTAAGTGAGAGGTTGTTATCATACTCTATAAATAGGACCCTCTTGTAAGCATCCAAGGCAGATTCGTAATCAATACATATCTGAGTTTTCTCTTTGTGAGAGCTTTTCTTTTGTTCTTGGATTATAACTTTATAGTGTTGATTCTACTAGCAGGTCGCAGTTAGGGTTAAGTTCCTCTTCATTTCCTATACCTATTTGAAAATGATCCATTCATGATTTAGAATCTTATCATTTGGTATCAGAGCTTCGACTCTTGAATCAGGTGTTATCTATTCTTTACCCTTTTATCTTCTTTAATTAAAAGAAATTGATGTTGATCTCAAGTTGTTAATGAAGGATTTTCATAGAGGATTCCAACTCCTAAATGCAAAATTAGATAATCTTGAATTTTCATCTAGATCTAGAAATCTGAGGCATCACACTTATAAAGGTGAGTATTCAAAGGGGCATTGTTAGTAGAGAAAAACATGAGAGTGGAGAAATCAAAAAGAAGTTCAAATTGAAATAATTAAAGAAATGGAGATAATAGAAAATGAGTTCAAAGAAATTGAGAGAGAGAAAGAAACATAATGCACAATTTTATGTTCTAACCCTTTGCTTAGCATGTGTTTTGCATTCGCCACATTGCCCAAAATTTCATGAGACATTTCAGGAATGCAAAAAGAAAAAAAAATAATCATCAACATGGGTATGTAGTTCTTTTTTATTTCTTTTTTTATCATCAATTAAATATTTATTCGTATTTATTTTACTATATTTCAACAATAATAAATTGATGATTTATTGCTCTTCAAAAATTCGCAGCTTATGGGATGTTTGAGCCTATGTTCAATTACCACTTTAATATATTGGGAAGCGAACCAGAAACTTAAGGTGTAATTGATTAGCTTAGCACTATTCCTAGAGAACAATGGACTCTTGCATGGGACCGTGCCCAACGATGGGGACACATGACTACCAACTTAGCAGAGGCAATAAATTCCATTCTTAGGAAAACAATAAATTTTCTAATATATGCAATTATCATGTTGACTTATAAGGGATGTAATTCATTATTCATCCTGAGACGGAAGGAAGTCATGTTAAACTCAAAGTTGGCTAAGTTTATATTGAAATAATAAATAGAGCGAGGAGAGATGTAAAATCCAAGGCTAATAGTCATCATGTCCTCAAGTTTGATCATCGTAGTAAATGTTTTCTGGTGCAAGAGACCATTAACATAAGGGAAGGATGACCGACTGGATCATTCACAATTAGACTGGATGAGAAGTGGTGTGACTATTGCATATTTCATAAGTTACACATGTCATTCTCCCATATTCTTGTCACATGTAAGCATGTTTACCACCATTACATATCTTACACATATCCAATATACTCATTAGAATATGTTTCTATTCCGATATGGAGGAAAAACCAGGATGGTACACTTTACAATGTGTATAATGAATTATTTGATGAATTATCCAAAGAATTTTACTAGCCAGAGTGTGACGAACTGCAAATCATACAAAATCTATGAAAAAATCAAAAATAAAAAATGTCGTCTGAAGTCATCCTGAATACCCACTGAAATAGATATGATTAAACCAGAACAATAAAAAAGATGTTCTCTGTGCAATAATGTATGTCACTCTAAGAAAAAATACCATTACCGTCAATGAAGTTCAAGTCAACAAGTTTAAATGGATGGTTTTTCATGGCTTACATCTCAATTTCAGTTGATTTTGTTGTGTGTCTTTTTCACAAATATCATGTTCTATAATTTTAATTTGTCATTTCATACCAACATTTTTTTTAAATTTTTAATTCCAATTTTAATATATAATAAAAAATATTACAATTTTTTAATAACAAATTTAATTATCTATAATTTTTAATGCGAACTAAATATATTAAATAAATTGCACATATTTACAAATATAAAAAATTAATTATTAAAATTTTTTATATTTTTTAAATTTTATTTAAATAATAAATATAATTTTTAAAATTTAAATATAGTTATACTATTATATATATTCTTAAAAATATTAAATTTAAATAATAAAAAATTATTCAAATTCTTAATTTTTAAATTAAATAAAAATCAAATTTTAAACTTTTAAAAAAATAGAAAACAAAAAATAAAAAATAAAATATCTCAATTGAAAAATCGATTGCTGGACAATTGATTTCCCACTAGACTTTTAAAAAGAAAAAGGAGGACCAAGTACCCAAATTATTTAAATAAATAAAAATATATATATTAAAAAAGTCTAACTTTTAATTCTTAATTCTATTATTAATATTTTATATACATTAAAAACTAAAATAATTTAAAAAAATACAAATATAAAAACTAAAATCCATCTTAAATTATATATAAAGTAAAAAAAAATATAAAAAATAAGTAAAATTATAGAAAATAAAAAAAAAATTTTAACCTTAAAAAATTAAAGCACTTGACTGGATTCATTATGAAATAAATAAATAAATAAAAACTAGATTCTTGAGCACATCACGGCGGCGACCAGTCTTAAACGGCAAAAGACTGGTGTGATGCCTTCATAGCTACCTTTTTCTTATTGCTTTCCTTTTCCGTGAAATTCTTGCTTACTTCGTAACTAGTGTTGCGTGTTTCATGTTTAATTTATCCTATATCACTGAAAGGGTTCAATCTGTTCATTTTGTTTAGCAAATGGATCAAGAATGGCGTAGATTTGGTCTTTAAGCGGTTCTAGATGTTTTTCTATACAAATATTTCCTTATCTTCTTACAATCAATTTGAATCTCAGGCTTTGGCCTTTGGGTAACTTTTATTTGTCCATGGTCATCATGTATAGGTTCACAATGTAATTTGAACTTTTCTCCCTTATTTCTTTCAGTTCCACAAGTTATGTTGATTGTTAAACCTTGTATAGAGAAAGACACACAGGGAGAGCATTGATTCCACGATAAACTTGCTACAGGCAGAAATGGAACCAATTACAACTTTACAAGCATAATGGGTTTGATGGCTGTTTGGAGGACAAAAAATCTAGGCAAGAGTCTTCCACTAACAAGGTTTCTTCATGCCTTGAAAGATAATCAATCAGGCCAAATTTTAATGTCTCCACCTCTTGCATCTTTGGACCTTCCTGACATCTGGACTCCTTCTTCACGTCGGAGTATTCCAGCAATACATAAAAGCTGTAAGTAACTAACTATCTTATTCCCTTGGAATGACTATTATTTTCATTTGTTTGATTCTTAACTTTTATCATTTTAGATGTTTTGTTGCTGTTCAACTGTAGTATTTTCACTTAATTGAGCAAAAGCTGGGTTTGTTGTCATTTATAGACTCCTGTGAACAACATATTACTTCCAATTCTCTTCCAATGTTAATTGTCTTGTCATTCTCCTCTTCTTCCAAGTATTGACAGATCAAGAGTGTCTGTATGTGATTTCTTGGTTTATTCAATTTCGTGTGTTTGACAACCGTTTCTTTAATAAATGTTAATAACTAGAAGTGATCCTCTTGAGACCTTTGAAGGAAAAGAAACAAAATTAACCACATGGTGGCTAGAAGTATGGCTTTGCAAGAGTCACGTGCTTAAGAAGAATACAGTGAACTCTATTGGATTAATTTATGTATCCAAATCATATGCTAACAAACTGTTTGGCTCTTTATGTTAGCTTGTGAGTATAACTCTTGATTGATTGCAATAAAGGCTACGAGTACGAGACTAACTGTGTATCCACAGGCAATGCCATTCAAACTCTTCAGATTCTATACCTATGAATAGATGGTTTTCTTTTTCTTTTATTAGGCATTCTTAATTTCCTTCTTTACATTTCATTCCTTAGATACTGTATTGAGGTTGGTGTTTGCTCAGTTAATGAGCAGACTGCTGTAGTATTGGATGGAAAGTTGATATCCATGGAAATCAGATCAAAAATAGCGGCTAAGGTGAGACAAATGAAGAAATGCCTAGGAAAAGTTCCTGGATTAGCTGTAATTTTAGTGGGCGAACGAAGGGATTCTCAAACTTATGTTCGCAACAAGATAATGGCCTGTGAAGAAGTTGGATTCAAGTCTTTGGTGACTGAATTACCCGCTGATTGTGCAGAAACAGATGTTCAAAATGAAATCAGGAGATTTAACAGAGATCCATCCATTCATGGTATTCTTGTGCAACTTCCTCTGCCACAAGTAATTTCTGAATCTATGACTTTTTACAAATAAGTTTGGCAGCACTGGAAAACCATTTTTCCACTAACGTCTACATGCTCCACGACAATCCTTGCTCCATAGTGTCCGACAAAGACTCCATCTTCCTTAGCCAGTTTTGGCTTGAGTTATTCTAGCTCCAAGGTACTACCTTGAATTTTTTGACAGCCTACCATCTAGAAACCGATGGACAACGGAGGTCGTGAACTGTTCCCTCTCTTCCTATCTTCGATGTGTTACTGGTGACTTTCCCTGTCGTTGGTATTCAGTGCTTCGTTTGGTAGAGTTCTGGTACAATAATTTGTACTACTTTGCTATCGACACCCCTCCTTTTTAGGCCCTTGACGATCGCCCTCCATTGGCAATTCGAGACTATATTCTTGAATCTTCTTCAAACACGGCTACTGAGACCCTTCTCCAAGATCGCGCCATGAACCTGCGCCTAATTAAAGAACAACTATTACATACCCAACAAAGAAAGAGGGACCAAGCACATAAGGGTTGTATCAACGTTACCTTTGAAGTAGGTGACTGGGTCCTGTTAAAGATGCAGTCGTACCGTCAACGCTTCTTAGCTAGGCCTGTGTTGCACAAATTTGGTCGCCGTTAACATGGGCCCTTCCAAGTCATCCTGATGGCATCCTTCCTAGCATTGATGGATAGATGTTGATCAATGAGAAGGAAACCTTGACTCCTTGGATCAAGGTCTTCAAAGGCGCAAGGAATGGTGAAGGAAAGGTGGAGATGGACGTTGAAGGTGAAGTGTTTGAGGGAATGTTTGAGAGGTGCACTCTAGGTTTGGCTCACTCCAAGGTAAATGAAGGTCACTTCTAGGGTTTTTCTCTCAAGGTGGAGATAGGATGGGAGGTGGCCGAAAATAGCCAAGGGGACTAAGGATGATATAAAGGCAAAATGTTCTCTTTATATTCAATATCCAAAGTATTTACAAGGTGTGGTGCCTTGGGTATTTATAGGAGTGGGAGGCATCTACGGTTGCATTTAGGGTTCCTTGGCCAAAATTCACCTTGCCAATGCACACCAAATGAAACCTAAATTAACCCTAGATGCAACTTGGTGGCCAAGGATAGAATCTTTGGGTTTAGTTAGGCTACATCTAGGTGCATGATAAGATCATGCAACCTTTGCCCTCCACTTGGGCCTAAGCCTTTCTAAGTCCAAAAATAGGTCCAAAGCTACCAAAAAAATTGCGTTACCCTCCTAATTAAAACCCTAGCCCAAAAATTAAAACCCTATTATCTAAAGCACCCCATAATACAAGGGTAAAATTGAAAATACAAATAAAATAAATTCTGACTAAAATATCCCAAAGTACAAGGGTAAAATTGGAATAAAGCAATAAAATTCTATGTTACTCAAATTGGGCCTAGGAGATGGATCCATACATGATATCTCTTTTATCTTCCTCCATTCTCCTAACCATGATCCATGAGGATGGTCCTCCATCAGTTAAGTTCCTCTTTCTTTCCTATACCTATTTCAAGAGGATTCGTTCATGCTTTATAATCTTATCATTTGGTTTCAGAGCTTCGACTCTTGAATCTGGTGTTATCTATCCTTTACCCTTTTATCTTTTTTAATTAAAAGAAATGGATGTTGCTCTCAAGTTGTTAATGAAGGATTTTCAAACAGGATTCCAACTCCAAAATGCAAAATTAGATAATCTTGAATTTTCGTCTAGATCTAGAAATCTGAGGCAACACACTTATAAAAGGGAGTATTCAAATGGGCATTATTAGTGGATAAAAATAAGAGAGTGGAGAAATAAAAAGAAGTTGAAATTGAAAGAATTAAGAAATACAGATAATAGAAAATGAGTTCAAAGAAATTGAGAGAGAAAGAAACATAACAAACAACTTTATGTTCTAACCCTTTTCTTATAAGCAATGATTCTTTATTAAAGGGTTTTGATGAAGTTGTTCCAATGAAGGAATGCAAATCATCAAATGAAAACGAATTTGAATCTTCAAAAATGCAAGTTTTTGAAATAGTTGAAGGAACTCATTATGGATTTATTTCTTCTTTTCAACCTAATCCTATAAATTCTTTTGTTTTTATGCCTAAAGAATAATTGCACACAAAGATTCTATGGGCACAACAATTCAAGGAGATAGTGGATCCATATACAAAGTAAGAAGAAGTATTTGATTCGAGGACGAATCACATCAAAGAGGGAGGGAATGATAGGCACATGTAAAGGTTCAATACTTTAAAATATGATAATCAATTGATGGAAGACCCAATGAAAGGAAGATGATCAAAAAGAGTTAAAAATAAAAAATTGAAGAGCCTAATTAGCCCAACACCAATTACTAAAGATGCTACAGTGGGTTGGACTTTATTTGGATGGTTTACTTAGCTTTTGGGCTTAAAAGTTATTTAAGCCTTTTTCTTATTTTTATTGTAATTTTTTTTATTTATATTTATTAAATAAATCAAATGGTTTTCCATTTCTTTTAGGCTACTTAGTGGAAAATAAATGATAGTGGGACTTAAATGCCTAGTGGAGACTTAGTGGGGGTTAGTAGGAATTTAATTCAATTAAATGAAAGGTTGTTATTCTACTCTATAAATAGGACCCTCTTATAAGCATCTAAGGCAGATTTGAAATTAATACATATATGAGTTTTCCCTTTGTGAGAGCTTTTCTTTTGTTCTTGGATTAGAACTTTATAGTGCTGGTTCTACTAGCAAGTCACGATTAAGGTCACAATTCTCTTTTGATAATTTTGGTTCTACCAGTAAGTCGCAGTTAGGGTCATGTTCCTCTTTTTTTCCTATTCCTGTTTCAAGACAATCCATTTATGTTTCAGAATCTTGTTAAAAGGCTTGTATTACAGGATCGAGAAATAGTCTCCAACATTAATTGTTGCACAATGTGCTAATGATGAATGTGGTTGGAGGTGCAGAGCGCCTTTCTTAAACAAAAGCCAGAAAGGGAGGTTCGTAGGCTAATAAATGAACGTTCTTTTTCATCTCCAGTGATCTCACAAGATCATGTCAACCTTTGCTATGTATATATAAGCAAAAGTATTATTCCATTGGTGGAAAGTGATCCATCAATTTCAATACCAACAATAATAGCGCACATCAAAAGTGCGAAAGGCTACACAATCTTGTACTGAAAAGCATGGATGGCAAAACAAAAGGCAACTAAAGACTTATATGGAAATTGGGAAGAATCATACCATGATTTATCCAAGTTGTTGAATGCCATGAAAATATTTCTTAATGGATTTGTTGTTGAGAAGCAGACAAGGCCACTATACAACCAACAAGGTGAAATGGTTATTGATTATGTTCAATTCTATTGAGTATTTTGGACATTTAAACCTTGTATAGATGGGTTTAAATACTGAAAGCTCGTTGTTCAAGTTGATGACACATTCTTGTATGGAAAATACAAAGGAACTATCCTCGTGGTCGTGGCACAAGATGGTAACAACAAAATATTTCCAATTGCCTTTGCCATTATTAAGGGTTAAACAACAAATTCATGGTATTTCTTTGTACATTACCTAAAAAGACATCTTTTTCCTCAAGATAGCCTTTGCTTAATCTCCAACAGGCACGAGTCCATAAAAAATGTCCACTCTAGACAAAGTATTGGTTAGACACCAGAGAACTTAGTGCATGTGTTTTGCATTCGCCACATTGCCCAAAATTTCATGAGACATTTCAGGAATGCAAAAAGAAAAAAAAATAATCATCAACATGGGTATGTAGTTCTTTTTTATTTCTTTTTTTATCATCAATTAAATATTTATTCGTATTTATTTTACTATATTTCAACAATAATAAATGTGCATCACACACACATTAGTTGCACATTCAAAGACCTTGAGCAGAACGGCCCGTTCTGAAGACAGAACGACCCGTTCTGGAACTCATCCAGAACGGCCCATTCTCCATCCAGAACGGCCTGTTCTCCAACCAGAACGGCCCATTTTGGAATTTGGAACGGCCCGTTCTCCCTCCAGAATGGCCCGTTCCCAACTACGTTTCACAGGGTTATTTAATAGCTTGGAACGGCCCATTCTGGCTACTAAATTAGCCAAATTTTTTTTATAACTATGTTACAGTATAGGACAGTTTTAATCTCACCGGTCTTAAGGCCCCCAAGGTGCCCCCATTATAGGGACCCAGTATCTCTGTCGCCGTCACCTGGCAAACTCTAAGGTCTGTCGCAGTATTTCGGGCTAGAGTAACCAGTTATCACCTTGAGTGTGATTTTTGACAAGGCTCGCAGGCTCCAAGGCCAAACTTGGGTTGGTCGTATGTCAACCACTCCCTATGTTTAATACCTTCATGCCCCCGAGTGTAGGGGAAACTGTTGTGTGCAAAAGGTTTGTGTACAATTGTTTATTCAAACAGATGCAGAATTTAAACAGGCAAACAGATATTAAAGCCAAGCAAATAAAGCAAACAAAGTAAAGGGGAAAAATATTTAAATTATTATTTTTATTAACTTCATCAATTAAATGGGTCTGAGCCTCTTTAAACGTCCCTAGTGGAGTCGCCATCTGTCGGAACCCAAAAAGTTTTTATCTTGCGGCCTATGGTTTACACATCCTTATAAAGATCTCATCAATTAAAGAATGCTCGAACACTAGACTAATCCTTAATTAAGGGTTTTGAAAATAGGTTCATGGAGTCGCCACCAATGTTTTACTCAAAACATTGGAAAAAGCAAAGGTTTTTAAAGATCCAATAATGGCCTTGATAACCAGAATTGGGTTCAGGGGTCAGTTACGTATAGGGAAGGTATTAAGCACCCCTACAACGCCCTCAATCGATACCCTACGATGAAGATAACGTAATAAGAGTTAATAGTTTAAATATTTAATCCCCTTTTATTAATGATTATTTACATGAAATTTAAATTACATGATGAACCCTAAAATGTTTACATGATTGTGTTTATTATACCAATATTTGAAATAAAAGAAGAGAATGATGGAACAAGAGATTGATGAGTAATCCCTCGTAGCAAGCTT